CCCATGTCCTTCTCGATGAACTCCTTGACGGGCTTCCAGCCATCGTCGATCTCTATGCTCGGCGAGAAGATGAAGATGCGCTCAAACACGCTGGAACCGTCCGCAGTGCGATACTGCTCCAGGATCGCGCTGATGATCGCGACCGTCTTCCCGCTCTTGCTCGGGCCCAGGAAGATGCCGGTGCAGGGCACGCGAGGCACGATCGGGTCCCTCGGCTGCTTCGAGGTGTAGTTGGGATTTGGGAACAGCTTGACTGGACCCATGTTTTACCCAGAGTGCCTTGTAGCACTCGAAGCACATGGCCTCTTTATGGAATGCTGGCGGCGGCCGCGATCTCGTCGCAGAGCCGCGGGGGCATGCTGTAGAGCTGGCTCTGGGACTGGGCGTTCCGCCGGCCGCCGCTGCTGCCCCTCTGCGCCGCCTCAGGGTGCCGCCCGCCCGCGAAGGCGGCGCAGCGGTCCCCCTTGCGGCACATGGCCTCGGAGGGCCGCCAGGGGAGGTTGTGCCAGATTCGGGTGGCCTTCCTGTAGCGGTAGCCGTACTTGCAGTAGCACACGTCGCTGTAGTGCAGGCCCTGCACCACCTGCCGCGTTTTCAGCAGCCCCGTCTGCGGATTCTCGAAGGCCCACCACCTGGGCCGCAGGTTGGCGATGATCTCCAGGGTGCGCCGGACCAGCCGGTCCCCCTCTTCCAGTTGCCGGGACCGCCTCGTAAGGGTATTCGAGTACTCGGTGCACACCGGGCTCGCCCAAACCATGTCGAAGTGCCCCAGCGCGGTCTCGTGGAGTTCCATCACGTCGCTCGTCGGCCCGAACTTGGCCTCCAGGTCCACGGAGACCACCTCCCAGCCCCTAGCCTCGAAGGCTCTTCCAATCGACCCCGTGCCTGAGAAGAGCTCCAGCAGGCGGGGCATCCGCGCTTTCTTCGGGGGGCTGGAAGGCCAGCCAGATGAACGCAGCCAGGCCTCCCAGCAGGCATGCCAGCTCCAGGTTGCACAGCAGGCACTCCCTGAAGGTCGGCGGCGGGGGCCGCGGCGGCTGGTCGGACGGGCCAGGCATTTTTTTTTGGGCGCCCTAAACAAATGCCGGCTGAGCCAACGACCATGGCGGAAGGGCAGCGGACCCAGCTGGGCGACCTGCTGACGAACGCCAAGGGCGGCAAATTCCTGCCCCTCAGAGGCCCCGATGGCGCGGCGCCGTGCTGGCGGTCGCCGGACTGGCTCAAGATCATCTGGCACCCCGCGGCCTTCGGGGACCAGGAGGCCCGCCGCGTGAACGTCTGCTTCGAGCCCGACGCGCCCACCGTGGAGTTCTTCGAGGGCTTGGAGCACGAGCTGGTGAACCTCCTGGCCGCCAAGTCGGCGCAGGAGCCCAAGGCCTTCGGCAAGACCCTGGCGGCCTCCGACGTCCAGGCCCGCGTGCAGTCGTGCCTCAAGGCCTCGCAGCGGGGCGGCTCCTTCCTGAAGGCCAAGTTGAATTGGGACCGCGTGCGCTTCTGGGACGCGGACGGCCAGCCGCTGGAGAGCCCGGGCGACCTCGCGGGGCGGCTGGCGAAGGTGCGCGTGGAGCTGCGGCAGGTCTGGCTGATGAGCCCGCAGTGCGGCCTGCTGCTGGAGGTGACCGACCTGCAGCTGCGCGAAGCGGCCCCGGAATGCCCCTTCTAAGGGAAAAGGGGGCAGCGGCCGGCAGAAGCCCGGCCCTCCCCCCTTCCGTGGACAGAGCCCCCGCGGCAGGGCGTCTCTTACAGCAGCCGCCGAATTCGTTTTAGCTTGAAGCTATGCCGGGCCCCCTTTTGCTCGGACCTTTTTTTTTGGCCTCTAAGGAGAAAAGCCGAGGATGAGTTGGGCGCAGCAGCGCGAGCAGATCCGCCGCGCCGCCCAGGCCGGGGTCAGGCCAAGGACCTCGGGGCTGGGCTCTCAGATTCTGCCGCTCGCCGGGCCGGGCGGGCGGTCCGCTCAGCTCACGCGCCCCAACGGCGACCTGACGCGTGCCGGGCAGCTCTACTACCAGCTCGCGGGCCGGAGGCCGCCGAGCCGCCAGTTCGACGAGGCGCAGCCGCTGATCCGCGAGGGCGCCTCCGATTACATCCTGCTGCGCAGCGGCGTCAAGAAGCTGGTGCGCACGCTGGCGCCGGACGGCAACTACCACCTCACGAAGCTGGGGAAGGCCTTCTTCAGGGAGAAGTACACGGAGTGGCTGGCCCACGTGCCGGTGCTCATCCGCGGCCGGCGCAAGAACGGCCGGAGCTACGAGCGCCAGGATTACCTGCCCGTGAGCTCCCTGAACGTTGGCCTGCAGAGGCAGAACGACGGGCTGTCGAGGACGACGTGATCATGGAGCTGTCCGAGGAGGTCTACTACCTGGACGGCTCCAGGGAGTGGACGCTG